CCTGGAGGCTCAGATATTCAATAAATGGTTCACTTGAGCCAAAATGGACTTCGGTCGATCTGCCCTTTCCATTTCCCTTCGCTGGACAATCTTTCACATGATGATCGGCACTATCACACTCATGGTACCTTAGGATCTGGCCGTCTCTACCTCGCGGGTTTCCCCGCCTACCTTTGCCTTTGCCTGGGGTATCTCTACGGCCCTCACCACGGCCTTTTCCCCCGAAAAATAAATCATACTGGTCATCTGAGAGCCTCTGGAGGAAGGCCGTGATGCTTCGTCCATTCAACCTACGACGACCCCGTTTGCCTTTTTCCTTTGAAACTCCTCCGTATCCTCCTCCTAACACGACGCACTGGTTTTCGCGTGAACCTCCTCCACCTCCGCTTTGCCGGTTGCAATAACCAAAACAAGTGTTCAGCACGCTGATTATCACTTTCCATATTCATGATATCTGACCAATCTAAAGCTTCAACACCGTCTGATGATACAGCATCGGCGTCGGCACCGGAGTCGAAATCGTCGTCTCCCAGGTAGGTGGATACACCGTCGGTTAGGGGGTTTGATTTCCCCCATAGGGAACGGTGTGGTTGCGGTTCTCTAGAAGGAGGGCTGGTTGCCCAGCTTGGTTGTGATCGATCCCCTGCTAGTAGAGCAGTGGATTCTCCAGGATCGTCAGCCCACATGCTTGAGGGCCCGTTTCCAGGCTGGGCTTCAGCGGTTAAGGTAGTGTAGAAATTCCCACTACCAGATCCCCTTCCCCTTCCAAACACTGATCCTATATTACCAGGAGGCCTTCTGATAGGTGACCTATCGAACGCATCCTCTCCAGCAACTCATCATACTGTTGTTGTGTTCGGGGCATTTGGTGATTGAGTGGCTGTAAGAGTTGCATGGCTCGCTGGTTGCCGACGCCTAAGGCGCGGAATAGGATCGCAGTTAGTAGTTGGAAGTTGGGAAGGTCAAATCCCACCGACTCTGCCTCAAGTCGGGCCATTTCGAATCGGGTGAGGGTGACATCGATTCGTTCTCCGTGAGGCACATGAAAGTCGATGAGCTGTGTGCCGGAAGTGCGCTGGCGCTCATCTTCCAGGCGTTCGAACTTCATGCTTAGGAGGAACATGATGTAGGTCACTGGGTCGGTGTGGACCCCATCAATGTCAGCACCATAGTTTATAATGTCAGGTGGTACCCTCATGGCGAGTGTACTCGCTAGGCCACCCAGGCCGCGTTGCATGGCGGTCGTTTGGGCCTGTGGCGTCATACGTCCACTTGTGACGTTGAGCCACGCGTTGACCTCATTAACGTACTCGCGGAAAGGTACGTTGCCTTGAGGGTCCCAGTATGGGCCATGTGTTTGCCCATCGGTGCTGCTCTCTCCACGACGCATGTGTCCGATTGCTGCCCCCAGCGCGAACCATATGATGGCGAATATAACCAGCCCAAGGCTATGAAGATATGTGTGGTTTTTAGGCGCGTTGCCGCGCTGGGGTAGCGCCTTGTCAAGTCTTCGAGGCGCTTTATCTCGGTGGTCTCCCCGCCTCTGCTTCAAGTACTGCGCTTTTGGCTCGTTGCCGAGCGGTTGGTAGTAGCGCAGTGATGAAGCGTATATGGTACCAATGTTGTTGTCTAGACGTCGTACCTCTCGTGTTGCTTCTTGCTCTTGAACAGATCCTCGTAAATGTACTGGGAGTGGTGGCGCAGGGTGGTAGTTGGTCACGAAGATCGTGCCGTGTAGCGTGAGGATAAGGAGAGCAAGAGCTGACCACACGAGAGTGCGGCCAGCTCCGCTACCAAGTCGAAAGTGGCTATGGTAAGTCAATAACATCCGCTCCCATGGGAATCAAATGGCAGATAGCGTCCATTGCCCTGCTGGGGTGGTTCGGTATGGGGAACGGACGGATAAGATAGGATAAGATCGATGTAATGATCTTTCCAGCACGTAGCGAACACTAAGGTAAGCGTCCGGGCAAATAGGGCGCGCGTGCCTTGAGCCAAAGGCAACGGTGCGCGAGCTATACTCCCGATCCTATATAACATCTCCCAAAGAGCTACCCTTAAAGTGCGTAAGCCTATAGAATCTAACAATATCGTGATCAAGTCGAAGGAAAGCCCCCCCACACTCCCCCGTCGGGGAGGGGAAGCAGGGGGGGGCCCTGGAGGGCCCCCACCCAGACGATCCAAGAGGGTCCCGAGACGGTCCAAGAGGGTCACCAATCGCCAAACGATCGGTCCAAAACACCTTCACGCCCTTCAGACTGCCCAGGAGGCCTCCAAGACGCCCCAAGAGCACTCACGAGAGGGACCCAAGAGGCCAAGTTCATTGATTGCCCGTTGGTTTTTCAAAAATTGGGCGTTCTCGCCTGTTTCCACTTCCCGCCGCTCGAACACGGCGCAAGAGGCCCCCAAGATCGCCCCAAGACGTCCCAAGAGGCCTCCAAGCGGGCCCCAAAATAGCCAAAGAGAACCCCAAGACAGCCCAAAACGCCTCCAAGACGACCCAAGAGGACCACTAGACGGCTCCAAGAGCGTGCCCAGGCGGGGGATCCGAACGGACATTTCGAGCCCTCGGCCCCGAAAGGCTCCCAGGAGGCCCCAAGAGGTTCCCAAGAGGCCCCAAGAGGCCCAAAAGAGATCCCCAGGAAGCCCGAAGAAGCCCCCAAGAGGCCCCCAAGAGGCTCCCAAGAAACCCCACAATTCCTCCCCAGGGGCCCCCGAGAGCCTTCCGAGAAGACCCCAAGAAGAATCCCTGAGGACTCTGGCCCACGTCAGCGTCGTTGTCATCATCGTCGTCGTCGTCGTCGTCCTCCCTTCAGGGGCTGCGGTGCTGGCCGTAAGGCCTTCGTAATATCTAACATCAGGTCGGGCACGTCCTCCTACAGGCGGAGTGTGTACGAAAATTTCTCAATAGTCCAACAATATTCAAAAATAGCAAAAAAGATATTAGAAAATCGTCTTCTGACTATTTTAACATTTTTCCCAAATACCTCCTGTAGAGGGACAGGCCCGACTTTTTGATATACCACTCCCCCCCTTCCCCCGAGGGGGAATCGAACCCGACACCCCACCCCACCCTGCCCGCCGCTGGCAGACGACAGCGGATGGCGCCCGCACCGAAAAAAGAGCGACGACTACGACAAGGGCCGCGAACGAGAACCACGGAAACGACCTTAGCGACGAGGACGACGACGACGACGACGACGACGACGACCACGACGACGACGACGACGACGACGACGACGACGACGGCGACAACGACGACAACCACGACGACGACGACGACGACGACGACGACGGCGACGACGACGGCGACGACGACGACGACAAAACGACGACGACGACAAAACGACGATGACGACGACAAAACGACGACGACCACGACGACCACGACACCCCCAGGGGAGGGGGGGGGCTGTGTGGGTGCGAAGCCCCTCTTAGCGTCGCCGCCAGCAGACGACGACGACGGGCGCTGGCAAACGACGACGACGACCACTACGACGGCGACGGCGACGGCGACGGCGACGACGACGGCAACGGCGATGGCGACGGCGACAACGACGACGACGACAAAACGACGACGATGACCAACGACGACGACGACGACGACGACGACGACGACGACGACGACGGCGACGACGACGACGGCGACGACGACGACGGCGACGAAGACGAACCAACGATCACGGCCACGACCACGACGACGACGACGACGACGACGACGACGAGGACGACGACGAGGACGAGGACGAAGACGAGGACGATGCGGGCGGGCGGGCCCTGACGGGCGGTCGTGTTGGGGACCTATCAAGCGGGTCGGGCTGGGCGGGCGGACCCTAACGGGCGGGTCGGGTCGAGCGGGCGGGATATGAAATAATGAATCATCATCGAAGTGGCTCGCGAGAAATCGGGTCTGGCTGGGCGAGCGGGTCAGGCGAGCAGGAAATCAAAGCATGACGCATGGTCGAATTGGCACGGAAAAACCCAGAAGCGCGGGTCGGGTCGGCTGGACGGACCCTAGATGGTCGGGTCGGACCGGGCGGGCGGACCCTAACAAGCGGGTCGGGTCGGACGGGCGGGGCATCGAAATGAAGCACTACGCACCATCGGCATTGCACATGAGAAACAGTCGTCGTTTGCGGTCGTCGTCGTCGTCGCCGTCGCCGTCGGTGTTTGCTGGCGCCGGCGCCCACCGTCGTCGTTTGTCGTTGCCGTTGTCGTCGTCGACGTCGTCGTCGTCGACTGTCGCCGTCGCCGTCGCCGTCGTTTTCTGCAGGCGGCGTCGGCGACCACCTTCGTCTGCTGGCGGCGAACGGGGGGGGGGGTCGATTGCATCCAGGGGTGTAGTGGGAACGGGAGGGGGTCGAACCTCCCCCCTATATTCCAAGCGTCCACTGAAAGTGCTATTTCAAAGATGCTCATGTCATGCATCGTATATGGAGCTGCTCACAGAAAATAACCCCGAGAAGACCCTTCCAAGCCTCCAGAGGCGCCCATAATCACGGCCCCCAGGGGCCAGGACACCGAGCAGACCAGGAGAATCAGCGCAGTCGGGCCCCAAGGACAGCTCGAGGGGGCTCCAGGGCCCCAACACGTCCCGAGAAAGCCACGAGATGACCCCGAAGTCGCCCGAGGCCCAAGAGAAGCCCCCAAAAATGTCCGCGGGTGCTCGGGCACACAGCTCCACCAGGCACTCCCAGATCGCAAGAGTCCTCCTCCTCCTCCTCCTCCTTCTCCTCCTCTTCCTCCTCCTCCTCCTGCTCCTTCCACACCCATCCTTCGAGTCTGAGGGGTCGAGGAGCCAGGGAAGCCGCATCTGGCGCCGCCTCGTCCTCCCCCTCCTCCTCGTCCTCCTCTTCTTCCTCCTCCTCTTCCAAATGTTTCTGCATCCAACGCAGCTTCTCGGGCAGTTGCCAATGTCACGCAGCTCAGGCGGGTGTCAAAACCTCGAGCTCCTATCTACAAACCCGTACCATGCGTCATCATCCAAGTCAGTTGTGTTATTATTGTGTCGGGCTGGAAGCCGCGAAACCTTGCGACTCCAGCATCTGTTTTATCTCCTTGATTCTTGTATTCATGCCCACCATCTTGTATTTAATCCTTGCCAGGTCGACCGCCTTGGCCGAACCGTGCAGCTTCATCAATCCAGAGGCGAACTCGTTGATCTCGACTGTGCCACCTCCGTCCGTGTCGAAAAGATCGAAAAGCATCCGCGGCTCAATAGCCGTCACATCGACTCCGAGAGACTTCAATACGTTCTGCATTTGGAGGTCCCCCAACAAATTACAGAAACTGTCCCAGTCCAACCTGCCCGTGTGACCGCCTTCAGCACTACGGAAGAGGCGTCTCACATCGCGCACCCACCTCTTTCTCCTGTCCAACTCATTCCACATCATGCAATCCTCATCGGCAGAAGCGATCTGCATCGCCTTCTCGCAGAAGATACCGGTAATGGTGTTCAAAACACCGAATAAGGCGATGGCAATGTAGGCGCAGAAAGCCAGTGCCAGGGCGGGAGAGATCATCAATAAAGGCTCTGCAGCTGCGTCCCATGACATCCCATTTGTGATGCTCATATACAATGTATAAAGTGCGCGTGATAGCGAGCCCCAATGGGCGCGAAGCTCATCCTCGTTGTGCACTGGATCACCCGCGCTGGCTAACTCATTCTCCACTATCTGCACAAACATGACGGCGAAGAGGTACATGAGCATCATGAGCAGGCAACTCGCCCACAAGAGGAGCCTCAGGGAGCTGCCAATGGCCAGGACCATGACCCTCAGCTCCGAGAAGAACCTGATATCCTCCGTCTCCTCCCCCTCCTGCTCCTCCTCCTCCTCCTCCTTCTTCTCTCATCTCCTCCACTGTTCTTCTTTCAGAGTCCATATTTAGGAGCAGGGGGAGGAGGGAGAAGGAAAACAGTCGCGAGGAACGGACCACGGTTGGATCTGCGGGTCACTCCAGTTGTCCTCGCAAAGGGAGCCTACGAGGGAGGACAATTCCTGTTCGACCTCGAGGCACTTCCCTCCCCACCTCCCGTCCTCCTCCACCACCCTCGGCTCCCAGAAGAACCTGATGATCCTGATCAAGCGCATTGCACGCACGAGCCTGCTCAATCGGAGGAGACGGGTAACGTTCGTCTTGATGAAAGAGACGCCCAAGAAGGAGGTCAGCAACTCCAAATAGGAGAACACCACGAGTGCCGAATCGAAGATGTTCCACCCGAATTGCGCATTCTTCCGGCTGACAAAAGAGCGCCCCTCGGCCACGATGCGCAAAATCAGCTCCAACGTGAAAAACGCAACCAAGGAATTGTCGAGCGCGCGGTACATCAGCGGTAACTCCTCCCCAGGGTTGTGGACCCCCCAGTCTGCCTGCATCCCGATGAGCACAGAGTTGGCGAGGATGACGGCCGCTACGAGCCACTCAAAGTGGCTGCTCACGACAACCCGCTGGCAGAACTGGCGCGGCGTGGTGGTGCCACCCAAGGTCCACGACAGATGCGGGTCCCGAGTGGGGGCGATGTCTGCGAGGGTTGCTGTGCACGCCCGCTCAAACTTGGTTAGGCTGATGTCCACGGAACTCTCCCCCCCGACACTCCCACCCGTCAGCCTCTCGAGCCTGTTGGGCTCCCGGTGCACAAGCTGGGACAGGGTGCGGGTAACGTTGGCGATGGTTGCATTCTTGCCCGATTCCGAGCTCGCCTCGCGTGAATCTATGACGCCATCGCCTGGCTTGTCGCCTGAAGACAAGGCACCCTCCCTCGACATCTCCAGGGTCCCAGCCCCTGCTTGGGCAGCGGGATCCCCCTGCGCGCCCAACGCCGAATCGCGGGCGACGCTGGAGGTGGCTGCGTCGCCGCCTGGCTCCCCGAAGATGTCGCGTGCCAGATGGAATCGCACGTTGGGCCTGGCCGACGGGCTGGGGCTTCCCCTCCGCTGGAGCTGCCGGCTCGGCCCGGCAAGAGGCGAGCTGCCCCGCAAAGCCTGCGCAAGCTCGGCGCTGCCCCTCGCCAACGCCTCGCCTGCCGCCCCGCTCGCGCCCAGCGACGCCTCGGACGCTGCGCCGGCGTGCAACACCTAGGGCGACGAGACCTGTGTAGATCCACCGCCGCTGGCCAGGCCGATCCTGGGCCCAGAAGCGGCGCATGAGCCCATCCTGGCTTGGCCAAGGGAGGGTATACACTGCTCCTGGGCCCAGGATGGGTCTGTCCAGCGGCGGTGGGTATGTATGGGTCTCGTCGCCCGAGCACCTGCACCAGCAGGTCCAGATGCTCCCTACATGCGCCCAAAAGTGCCGCCTCAGGGGCGCCTTCCTGAACCACTGCCTGGCGCCCAACGTCGCCGCCAGCTTGGCCGTTGAGGTAGTACCTCGCGAGGCGCGCGGGCGCCGCACGCCGCGACTTGCCGCTGGAGAGGGCAGGCTGGTTGCTGGCTTCGCCGCCTGCGCTCTCAGGCGGGATCTCTGCTTCCATTCTGCCACCATTGTCTCGCGTCCACTGGCCTTCCGCCTGCGGGAGCGCGGCGGTGACCATCTCGCTCGGCGCCCCGAAAGCCTGGCGCTGGGCGGCCGGGGGGGCAGCAGGAAGCCAGTGGCGCGGGCGTCCGAGAATGCCACTCCGAGCGAGCTACGGAGCTGGAGCCCAAATTCATACAGAAGAGGAGGAGGAGGAAGAGGAGCAACTAAAATTGCGGGGGGGAAGCTGTACGATAGAGGCCAAACAGGATTGCGCGAGCGATCGAACAGCTCTTGCAGAGAAAAAACACCAAAGAACAAGTGGCACGCGCGCCTTGGCTCTTGCACCAAAGGAGCTGGGAGGGACAGGAGGCTTTCGCTCCCTTCCTCCAGGAGTTCCTTCCGTGGCCGGGGGGAGGGGAGGACGAACGACGAACGAACGAACGACGACGACGAAAATAAAGAGGTCCGAGCTCTAGAGCACAGCTGTGCAAGAGAATAAAGGGTTCCGTGGCCCAGGGGGGCTGCCCTGGGAAGCCTGGACGGAGGGGCCCTGGGAAGCCTGGACGGAGGGGTCCCAAGAAATCCCAAGAGCCTCCACGTGGAGTTGGCCCAGAGAAGCCGGGGGAGGCCCAGGGGATCCCAAGGGGTCCCAAGAGCCTCCACGGGGAGGTGGCCCAGAGAAGCGGGGGGAGGCCCAGGGGGTCCCAAGGGATCCCAAGGGGAGAGCCCAGGGGGACGAACGAACGAACGAACGACGACGAAAATAAAGATGTCCGAGCTCTAGAGCACAGCTGTGCAAGAGAATAAAGGGTTCCGTGGCCCAGGGGGGCTGCCCTGGGAAGCCTGGACGGAGGGGCCCTGGGAAGCCTGGACGGAGGGGTCCCAAGAAATCCCAAGAGCCCTCCACGTGGAGGTGGCCCAGAGAAGCCGGGGGAGGCCCAGGGGATCCCAAGGGGTCCCAAGAGCCTCCACGGGGAGGTGGCCCAGAGAAGCGGGGGGAGGCCCAGGGGCTCCCAAGGGGTCCCAAGGAGAGGGCCCAGGGGGACGAACGAACGAACGAACGACGACGAAAATAAAGATGTCCGAGCTCTAGAGCACAGCTGTGCAAGAGAATCAAGGCTTCGGCGGCCCAGTGGGGCTGCCCTGGGAGGCTCGGGGGAAGGAGGGGTTCAGGGCCCAGTGAAGCAGGGGCAGGCCAGCGGGTGATCCTGGGAGGCCCGGGGGAGGGGGGGGTCCAGGGCCCGAGAGGGCGAGGGAGGACGACGAACCACGAACGAACGAACCACGAAAATAAAAGCTTCGGCGGCCCAGGGGGGCTGCCCTGGGAGGCCTGTGGGCAGGAGGGGTCCAGGGCCCAGGGAAGCAGGGGCAGGCCAGCGGGTGAGTCTGGGAGGCTCGGGGGAGGGGGGGGTCCAAGGCCCGAGGTGGCCAGGGAGGACGACGAACCTCGAACGAACGAACCACGAAAATAAAGGCTTCGGCGGCCCAGGGGGGCTGCCCTGGGAGGCTCGGGGGAAGGAGGGGTCGAGGGCTGACGCAAGCAGGGGCAGGCCAGCGGGTGATCCTGAGAGGCCCGGGGGAGGGGGGGGTCCAGGGCCCGAGAGGGCCAGGGAGGACGACGAACCACGAACGAACGAACCACGAAAATAAAGGCTTCGGCGGCCCAGGGGGGCTGCCCTGGGAGGCCGTGGCAGGCCAGCGGGTGATTCTGGGAGGGAGGGGGGGGTCCAGGGCCCGAGGTGGCCAGGGAGGACGACGAACCACGAACGAACCACGAAAATAAAGGCTTCGGCGGCCCAGGGGGGCTGCCCTGGGAGGCTCGGGGGAAGGAGGGGTCGAGGGCTGAGGCAAGCAGGGGCAGGCCAGCGGGTGATCCTGAGAGGCCCGGGGGAGGGGGGGGTCCAGGGCCCGAGGGGCCAGGGAGGACGACGAACCACGAACGAACGAACCACGAAAATAAAGGCTTCGGCGGCCCAGGGGGGCTGCCCTGGGAGGCTCGGGGGAAGGAGGGGTCAGGGGAGGGAAGCAGGGGCAGGCCAGCGGGTGATTCTGGGAGGCTCGGGGGAGGGGGGGGTCCAGGGCCCGAGGTGGCCAGGGAGGACGACGAACCACGAACGAACGAACCACGAAAATAAAGGCTTCGGCGGCCCAGGGGGGCTGCCCTGGGAGGCTCGGGGGAAGGAGGGGTCGAGGGCTGAGGCAAGCAGGGGCAGGCCAGCGGGTGATCCTGAAAGGCCCGGGGGAGGGGGGTCCAGGGCCCGAGAGGGCCAGGGAGGACGACGAACCACGAACGAACGAACCACGAAATAAAGGCTTCGGCGGCCCAGGGGGGCTGCCCTGGGAGGCTCGGGGAAGGAGGGGTCGAGGGCTGAGGGAAGCAGGGGCAGGCCAGCGGGTGAGTCTGGGAGGCTCGGGGGAGGGGGGGGTCCAGGGCCCGAGGTGGCCAGGGAGGACGACGAACCACGAACGAACGAACCACGAAAATAAAAGCTTCGGCGGCCCAGGGGGGCTGCCCTGGGAGGCTCGGGGGAAGGAGGGGTCAGGGCCCAGGAAGCAGGGGCAGGCCAGCGGGTGATCCTGGGAGGCCCGGGGGAGGGGGGTCCAGGGCCCGAGAGGGCGAGGGAGGTCGACGAACCACGAACGAACGAACCACGAAAATAAAGGCTTCGGCGGCCCAGTGGGGCTGCCCTGGGAGGCCCGTGGGCAGGAGGGGTCCGGGGCCCAGGGAAGCAGGGGCAGGCCAGCGGGTGAGTCTGGGAGGCTCGGGAGGGGTCCAGGGCCCGAAGTGGCCAGGGAGGACGACGAACCACGAACGAACGAACCACGAAAATAAAGGCTTCGGCGGCCCAGGGGGGCTGCCCTGGGGGGCTCGGGGGAAGGAGGGGTCGAGGGCTGAGGCACGCAGGGGCAGGCCAACGGGTGATCCTGAGAGGCCCAGGGGGAGGGGGGGGTTCAGGGCCCGAGAGGGCCAGGGAGGACGACGAACCACGAACGAACGAACCACGAAAATAAAGGCTTCGGCGGCCCAGAGGGGCTGCCCTGGGAGGCCCGTGGGGAGGAGGGGTCCAGGGCCCAGGGAAGCAGGGCAGGCCAGCGGGTGATTCTGGGAACCCCGGTGGGGGGTGCAGGGCCCGAGGTGGCCAGAGGCAGGCCAGCGGGTAATCCTGGGAGGCTCGGGGAGGGGGGGGGTCCAGGGCCCGAGAGGGCCAGAGAGGACGACGAAGCACGAACGAACGAACCACGAAAATAAAGAGGTCCGAGCTCCAAGAGCACAGCTGTGCAAGAGAATAAAGATGTCCGAGCTCTAGAGCACAGCTGTGCAAGAGAATAAAGGCTTCGGCGGCCCAGGGAGGCTGCCCTGGGAGGCTCGGGGGAGCTGCCCTGGGAGGCCCGGGGGGAGGCTCAGCGGCCCAGGGGGGCTGCCCTGGGAAGCTCGGGGGGGCTGCCCTGGGAAGCTCGGGGGGAGGCTCGGGGCAGGGGGATCCTGGGAGGCTCGGGGGAGGGGGGGGTCCAGGGACGACGAACCACGAACGAACCACGAAAATAAAGGCTTCGGCGGCCCAGGGGAGCTGCCCTGGGAGGCTCGGGGGGAGGCTCGGGGCAGGGGGATCCTGGGAGGCTCGGACGAGGGGGAAGGTCCAGGGACGACGAACCACGAACGAACCACGAAAATACAGGCTTCGGCGGCCCAGGGGGGCTGCCCTGGGAGGCTCGGGGGGAGGCTCGGGGCAGGGGGATCCTGGGAGGCTCGGGGGAGGGGGGGGGTCCAGGGACGACGAACCACGAACGAACCACGAAAATAAAGGCTTCGGCGGCCCAGGGGGGCCTGGGAGGCTCGGGGGAGGGGGGGGGTCCAGGGACGACGAACCACGAACGAACCAAGAAAATAAAGAGGTCCGAGCTCTAGAGCACAGCTGTGCAAGAGAATAAGGGAATCATAACTGTCCAACCACGAGCGCATTCTAGACTCGGCAGGGAGACACCGTCGATGGCCACCCCGACGGTCGCGCGCGCGGGGGCGCGAGCTCATCCACTGCACTGGCGAGATCGCTCGTGCTCTTAAAAGCGGCGCGTGCTACCATGTGCCGCATTGTGCTATGACGGCGCGCGCGACCATGTGCCGAATTGTTTGAAGCTGGTGACCTCGGCCCGCAAGCATGACGTCTGAAAGCCTGTCCTAAGACGTTGGAGAAGATGAAGGCCCCAGGGTCACTTGAGTGGTCAGGTGGAGGTGTAGCACCTTGACCTAATAGGTAGTAGAGGAGGTGATGGATGGAGATGGACCTCGAAAGATGCGCACACTATTTGGGCACGATCGTCTCCGATCCATCGGACACGATAACGACCACCGTAGGCAACCTCCTCGCTGGGCGCGCCGGGCCCGGCACTGCCCCTGGGCGAGGGCGGCTGATGCGGCTCGTCGGCGCCAGCCGCGCGGAGGATCGCGCCGGCGCGCCGACGCTTGACCTTCTCCCCAGCCCTGCGGGGCTGCATCCATTCTTCTTGGGGGGGGGCCAATGGCGTCGTCCGGCGGGGGATCGCCCTGGCCCTTGCCCTTGCACTTGCCCGTGGCGGCTATCACCGCAGAGCGCCCTCGGAAGCCGATGGCCACCATGGCCCCCACCCTGGTCCAGAACGGACGCGGAGTCGACGAGCGCAACGTCGGTCTCCAGCTCGAACAGCGGGCTGCGCCGGCTTCGTCGCAGGCGGCCTCGTCGATGGCCCCACCAGGTGGCGACGGAGGAGGGCCCTCTGGCGAGCGGGGGCGACGCGGCGGGGCACGCGACACGCGCTCACCCGAAGGGGGGCGCACTGCGCGCGGCGGCAGCCCCGCCGGCCGCCCACGACTAGGCGGACGGCTCTCGAACGAGGGGACGCCGAGCGATGCGCCGGCCGTTCCTGGCCAGGACCCCGTTCATCAGCGCCCAATAACGCCCCCATTCGTCTCGCTGCTGGGGGCTCCGCGAACTCCAGGGGCGGCAGAGCTCCGTCGTGAACATCGCGAGCGCGACACCCGATTCGGCTCGCGCATGCGGGACTCGGACCATTTGTCCAGCCGCGGACCCACGCTTCCAA